ACCCATTTTGTTTATTAATTCACATTGAATGGCTTGTTTGTTACCATTTAATTTAAATACCCGTTATGTCTTGGTTATAACTCAGATTTATCGATTTGGCTTGTCCATTGCCTTAGCTCGGTCCTATTCATATGGATTGTTTGATGATTGAGGCGAGTTATACTAATTATGACCTTAACTTGATTTGAGATAGAATGTACATACTAAAAAAATATATCCGTGAAAGAACCATCGATTAAGATGATAAGAATTTCTTTCAATTTAATCCTTGTATTAAAATATTCTTCAACTTGAGATATTAGTCTCAAGCAATTACATTTTTTAACACAATTTATTCATAAACAAAGTAACTCTCTTATTCTTACATCTTGCCATTAAATTATTTTATATCATGTCAATGGTTAAGATTATCTCTAAGCATAGGACACAAATTTATCATGTTCTAACAAAAAACAAAAAAAAAATCAGCCACGTAGGTTAAATGGCAACAAACAATAAATACCGTAAAATGCAAAAGAAAGAAAAGAAGGAAATTTTCGCATGAAACACTTGTTGTCTGTTGAATTTTCATTGCTTCCAGAAGAGAAAAATCTATCACGGACCCGCACTTACGGTTATCATTCCCTTTATCTCTCAATTTCTTTCTGTAATTCCGTTTCCTATTACTTGTTGCGTTTCAGTATCTGCTTGCACGATTCAATCATCTTCCATTTTCCCTTTTCACGCTTTCCGATCCTCAATTTCCCTAAATCAAAATTCAATCACCGTATCATTTGATCCATATTCCCTAAACCTTTTTCAAAAATTTGATCGAGAAATAGGTTTTGATCCGAGAGAATTTCAATATATAAATACTTGTTGTTGTTGAAACCCTAGGGATTTTGATTGTTTTTTAATATCATCAGATGGCGTTACAAGGAAAACTCGATAGATTCAAAAAGCAGCAGGAGAAATGTCAAACAACCCTATCGAGCATAGCAGCTACCAAGACTGCATCTGCATCGATGCCGACTTCTCTTGTTCCTATCAAATTCTCAACTGATACGGAGAGGCTTCAGCATATTAACAGTATACGTAAAGCTCCTGTTGGAGCTCAGATGAAGCGTGTTATTGATCTCCTTTACGAGGTACCAAATTGGTATAGATCATATACAAGTTACAATCTTTATGCTGCGTGCGCTTTGTGATCTTAATGTTGCAGAAAATTGTGGTCAAATAGTGCTATTTTATAGCATGTGAGAAGATACTTAAGTTGTATATGGCCCTGTTTGGATAAACAACTCAATTAAATGCTTGTCATATATGAATACTTATGCATAAGCTGTTTATGTAGCAAAATGTAAAATAGTTAAATTATTTTTATTTAGGCCATAAGTTGTTTTTATAAGCTATTCAGGCGAGCTTATGGAAATAAGCTGAAAACAACTTATAAACATGTCATAGGATGTTTTCACTTGTAAAAGGCCAATAGATAATCTTATGTAAGTTAATTCAAACAGATTCATAAATAATATGCAATATCAACACTGGCAATTCCTCCTATCACAAGAGGAACCTATACTGAAATCGTTTCTTCTACCCTGTAAATTCATAATGTTAAATAGGAGTAATTTTATGGATCACCTATGGTGTTATTCTTTTCTCTCAAGGAGTGTACCATTTTCCTGTTTTAACAAGTATTAATGGATCATTTACCTCATTCATGCACGTATGTAGTCCCATTTCATCTTATAAATACTATCAGAAACTACTTTTTAGGTTCAATAGTACTTGGGTTATAATTATAAAAGCTAATTTTCAGAATCATGTCACAGTTTAGGAAAAGTTCTGCATTGCTTTTTGTACATGACATATAAGTATGTATTAATGTTGGTCATCAGTAAGCTCTTTTGTGCCTAATGGTCAGTCTGATTGGTGGTTAATACACTTTTTCAGCCAATGCCTAGCTTCTCTTATGGTTGATGGGTATGTGCATTTTGCCATGAATACTTACTTAGTGCTTATGCCTGTGTTTTCTTAATAGACTCGACAGGCTTTAACATTGGAGCAAATAAATGAAACATGCCATGTGGACATGAAAGCTAACAAAGATGTTTTTGACAATATGAGGAAAAATCCAAAAGTAAGATATGATGGAGAAAGATTCTCTTACAAGGTAACTTTTATTCTCGCATTTATGTAAATCTTCATGTGTTCTATTTTGTTCACTTTGACAATAACATCTTCTTCACTTATACTACTATTTCGGTTCATGATATTTGGCTTTGCTTTTGGTCTATAGTCGAAACATTCCCTTCGGGACAAAAAAGAGCTTCTTTTCCTGATACGCAAATTTCCAGAGGGCATTGCTGTTATTGACTTGAAGGATTCGTACCCTACTGTGATGGAGGACTTGCAGGTAAATTAGTTTTGTTTGCTAATTTTATTGATTTCATAACATTAGTTTTTCTGATACATTGATGAAATTTAATCATAGATACTCCCTCCATTCTCTTTTATAAGCAAATTTTGACTTTCTAGGTTCATTCAATAAATAATGTATTTGGACTATATATAGGTTAGATGCATTAATTACTTAATGAATCTAAAATGTTAAAATTTGCTTATAAATAGGAATGGAGGGAGTATATGCCTAACTCCCATATTGCATCGAGCTTACTGAACTATACTATTCTTATCTCACAAGTTTGATTCCTTCCTTGTTTGTGCACAATGAATTTTTGGGAAACACATTTATGCCAAAATACTAACCAATCACTATACCTATGAAAGAAGCTCAAATGTTATAGTCAACACAAGCCGATGGATATAAGAATACGATGTCAAGGGACACAATAGAATAGACAAATATGGTTGGAAACAGTGTATTTGAAATAAACGATCAACTAAATCATTCACAATTATATAGATATAGGTTTATTATCCTGAGTATTCCTCTCCCCTCTTTGTACCTGAAATACTAGCCTATAATTTTAATATAATACCAAAGTGGTTTCATCCACAGTGCCCTTGGCCATCATCATCTTGACTATTTTTTCTTGATATCCACACTAATTTCTGCCACCTTTTCTACCATTATCTCTCCTTGTGAGTGGATTTTCTGTGTTCTACTTCCAAAACTTATCTTAAAAGCCTTGGACCAATTCGTTTCAATGCCCTTTATGGGTTACTGCAACCCCTTAGCCTATCACAATCAAATGAAGTTTGATCCTAACTGTTCCAAATGCGGTATTGCCCTAGCTATCCCAAATGACCGACTATCCTATAAAAGCATTTTGGCCTAGCGGCTATGTAAAAGATAAACTGGCCCTGTGTCTATCCTATGGAACTAGACCCTCCTTGACCATTCCAACCCAGAATCTTAGCTCTAACTAAGTGTGTGTGCACCCTCTATTCAGTAGTTGCAAATGCATCCTCAGAGCTTATCCGATTTGTCTTTTCATTTATCTATATATTAGTCTTCGAGAGTTTTGGATATTTTATTCAATTCAATGACTATTTAGGCAAGTTCATATTATGGATGAGAATGCTAAGGAGTTGTTCAGAGAACATTCTATTCAGTTGCACCAACCTTAACGTAGGTTATTAGTTATACAAACCACTTAAATCCATTAAATCTATTTGTAGAACAAAGCCACCAAAGTTTACTTCATTTTAGTCAATGTGTCTCTTTCACTTGACTATTTTTCTCTATTTTTTTATTCTTTTAAAAGATCATAGTCATTGTGTAAATGCTTCTTAGAGTTTTACGCGGCCCTGAAATATATATTAATACAACTGTGAACTGTTTTAGTATGCTTTTACTGAAATGAAATAAAAAACTATTAATCTGCAACATCTATACTCAGATGACTGGCTGTGGTTAGTGGTGATGTTTTTTAGAGGTGGTCAAGAGTCAAAACTTTGTTATATAATTGGTTTCCTGTGGAATTAAGACTCATAAAGCTCTCAGTTTATAGGGTTTGAAAGCTGGCAGGGAGATTTGGCTGCTGTCCAACTTTGATTCACAGGAAGACATTGCCTACCCTAATGATCCTAAAGTGCCCATTAAGGTGGATGATGACCTAAAACAGGTTTTTCGCGGGATTGAATTGCCCCGTGATATGATTGATATAGAGAGGGATCTCCAAAAAAATGGAATGAAGCCTGCTACTAACACTGCAAAGAGGAGGAGTGCAGCACAAATGGAAGGCATTCCATCCAAGCCTAAGCCTAAGAAGAAGAAGAATGAAATCACCAAGAGGACCAAGCTGACTAATGCCCATCTTCCAGAGCTTTTTCAGAACTTAAAGAACTCCTGATCTAAGTAAAGAACTCCTGATCCAAGTAACTCATAGCATGTGTTGGGCGAATTCTCATAGCGTGTTTAGAAAATCTTCCCATCGTCCTCAAGGATATATCTTCTTTTATTGTATTAGATTTTACTTCCACTTGTTTTGGACATATCCAATTTGTCAAAGAAACAATTTTCAGAGCACATTGCAAATACTGGGCACTCCTTCCAGGCTTAAACATTCTCAAGCAAAAGGAAAAAGGTGGCCAGAGCCCCTCTTCTGGTAGTTTTTCCAAACTCAAGGCCGTATGGTTTAAACCAAGGGCAGAAAATGGAGCAGAGTGGATGTATTGAATATGTTCTCATTCATACGTCTTGTCTTACCCCTGGAAATGAATAATGATTTTGTATGTTTTCTGTTTCAGAATGATGTAATTTTATTAAACATTTTGTATGGATGTTTGATTATATTTAAACATTTGCATGTTATTTCAAAAGTTCTTGGCAAAACACTTGCATGTAATTTTGTGTTTTGCCTGTCTTAAAATGATGGCATTGTGTTGATTGTGTAATTGTGAAATATGGAATTCTTTAATATAACTCAAACAATACATATAAGAACAGATAATTCATTAACAGTTCAAACCACACTTTAAAAGTATACATAATTGAACACCAAGTAACCAATCCATCAAGAACTCAGTCTTTTTATTTGCTTTAAAATAACTTAACTGCTAAAGCATCCTAAAAATTTCTTGGGTGCAACTCCACGGCTACGAAATTTAGCAGCTGTCTCTTCTAGGTCAAGGAATTCTTCCCTTTTTTGAGCCTCAACAATTGCCCTTTTCTCTTCAGCATACTGGTGGATTTCAGCTATGTCATTTTTCATTTTTAAAACATACTCAACCTTCTTTCTTTCCAAATTTTCCTGTTAATCAAACCAATTTGTGTTAAGAATGAGTGAAACAACTTGTATTTGAAAAGAAAACCAGTCCCATTGATGCGTTAAGCTCCGCGGAGAGTTTTGTTTCTTTTAAGATTTGAACTCAGATTCTTCTAAATAATTTTTCTTTAACTGGAACTCATTAACTGTTTGAACCCTACCAAGGTTCCTCAAGGTTGAAACTAACAAAAGAAGATACAATATATGAATTAATCACCTCAAATTTCTTGAGTTGAGCCTCTATGGATGCTTTCTTGCTTTCCTCCCATAATCCAACAGCAGACTGCTTCTTGAATGCCCTGTGTGACAGTTTCTCTTTTCATCAAACTCAGTTTTCAAAATAGATGATGAACTTGGAGGTTGTATCCAGCATCTAATCAAATATTGACATTCGCACTAAAATTGTATTTAATCATAACTAGTTATGCAAGTAAAGTATGCATTCTTTATTAACTATCTCCAGTTTTTCAGGATCCATTCCATACTTCAAAGTCATGTAAATTCACAAGAAATCTCATAAAAGAGTATACACTAATAAAGAACTTTATTGATATGTTCCAAAATACACAACATCAACAAAAAAAAAAGCTTGTAGTTATTAATGGAGCCAAATAACTTCAAACTACACATCAAAATAGTTCAACAACATTTTCTTGTTAATCACGTTTCTAATAAGTTTGCAAAAAATCAAAACAGAACAGTGATTAGAATTAAATCTATAGATTTATAATATGGTTTCTTACCTATTTTCTGCCTTTGTCTTTTCACTATCTTCCCATGCTTTAATTAAAGCCAATCTTTTCTCTGCTACAATTTTTGCAAGACCAGTATCTGATCAAACAAAATCAAAAACAAAGTTACCAATATCTATTATTGAACATATAATAATCTTGTACAATTTTTTTGGTTGAAAATAACCTTTGTCACTTGAGCCCTTAGTATCTTTGTTATCATCATGGTTTTCTGTTTCCTTATTTTCAGCATGATCATCTGCAACCTCTGCATATAAAACATGATGGATTGAATGAATCAAATAAAGTAGTATATGTATACACACACGCGCACATGACATGAGAGGCTTACTCTGATCATCGAGTGTAGATGTGACCGATTGATTAGGCTCTTGGTTAACAATATCTGATTCATTTTCCTGAAGAGGCGAACTCTCTTCAGGGACAGGGTCCAGAGGCTGTGGCTGTTGCGATTCGGTTTTGTTGACGCTGTTATCTTCTAGTTCTAATTCTCCCATGGTTTGTTTTGTTCTCTTCTGTTCTGCAACTGAAAAGTTGGGTGGATGAATGAATATTATGATTTAGAATTGTATTAAGGTTGAATATATAGTAAGTAAGCAAAGAGAAAAAATGGTAGTAAATACTAAGTATAGAAGGAATTTGGACATAACAAGGTAACTTGACAGGGTGGTTTTTTGTTTCACAAACGTAGGGGAGTAGGGAAGTTTCACCACAACAAATGTATGCGGATATTCACGGTCTTGTTACATATTTTTTGTAGTTACTGTAGTTATTACCTATGTTTTATGACATCTGTCAAAATAACTATGTGTAATGATGTTGATGTTGAATCTTATTTCTTAGCTGTTAATTTTATTTTTCAAATATCTTTCTTTTTTGTAAGTATCCTTGACATATGATTTCACTACAGTTTTTAATTCTATTGTTTGTATTTTATGTTTGTTACTGAGTCATAAATTCACTTTGAGTTTAACCATCATGAATCATTTGAATTAAGTACTCTTCACCCTCACATTTGCCTAAAGAATTGATAGTCTCAACCCTCCTTCATTTTCAATGATGAGAGCCAAAGGCCCAAAAGAAAGAAAAAAAAAACACTAGAAGAACACCTCCTTAGAGGCGGAACTCCTTAATTTATCCACAAATGCTCTATAAAATTGGGAGGAGAGAAATAACATGTCAAATATGAGCTCATTCTACACCCAGCCTTAACCAAAGCATCTCTAAACGTATGCGAAACAAATGCCTCATCAAATCTATTTAAAAGGCTTTCGATCTTCCTGTGCATCTCCAGCCTATCACTTGTACTAGATTTTTCTTGGTTCGATCTTCCTGTGCATCTCCAGCCCATCACTTGTACTAGATTTTCCTTGGTTCAATTCCATATCAATCTCAGAAGAACCTTCTGAAGTCCAGGTCTAGGGTAAACATCAACCCTTCAAGAATAATCCAAAGCTCGGCCATATAATTGCTACACCCCCTCGTCAACAACCTTCCTCATCTCTTATCAGACTTCCACAACCTGCAGATACACCTTCAATGCACGCCCCGTCCACATTAAGGGAGGCTCAAAATACTCTTCGGCAGCCAATCCAATTCCCATTGCAATCCACAAGCGCCTTAACCTTAGCATGCGCCAAATTATCCGGAATAGTATGCACATGATTACAAATACTAAATCCAGCCTCAGTTCAACTATCTTCCCAAACATCAATAGTTCTACCATTTACACATGATCACCAATACTAAATCCAACCTCAATCCAGCCAGTTCCAATGATTAGTTTTAAAGAGAATACAAAATGACTTATTTATGTATAACAATGTTGTATCTCATACTTTCAAAGCGAATTGATTTTGTCATTTTAAAAGGAATTTTAAAAGGAATAATGGTGTAATTTATTGTCCATCTGCCTTCTATTTTTCTAAAAAATCTTTATTCACAAATCAATTGAAAAATGAAGGAATTTGTTTTAAAAAATGATTACTTTTTCTTGATTACTTTAGTCCACTTTCAATGTTTGTCATTCTCAATTTCTCTTTAATTTAGATGTTTCAAGGTCCTCCTAAAATTCAAAAGTTTTTTTTTGATAGATTATTCATGAAAAGTGAGTAACACATAAGAAAACATTTAATTAGACCTTTTTTAGAGGTCTTGACACCCTAAATTCTAAAATATTTATTATAGAAATAAATTAAAAATTACAATTAAAATTAAATTTTTTTAAAAAAACGATGTCAAGACAAACCAACGGTAGAAATGGGGGAATCTCATATTCAGGTTTTATACATAATTTCTAAACTTCTTAGACAACGCGCAACGCTAGCTAGTTTCACTATAGCTAGAACTTTTGGACACCAAATGTTGGGTCCCAACCCCATAGCTAAGAAAATCAAATGCAATAGATACTACAAGTGACACAACTCTTATAACTATGCAAAGAGTAATTGTGTTATTTTCTCGAAATTCATTCAGAAGGTTATGTAGGATGGTATATTTAAGTTGACCGACATGAGAATGTCAAAGGTGGTTGTTGACATCGATCATTTACTAATCACAAATATCTCTATGTTGTCTTTCTCAAAACCTATAGGGTTTAAGACAGATATTAGAAAAATGGTGAAATAGATTTGACAACCTAAAGTCAAATCAGTCAAATTCTTACAGGGAAATATAAAGACAGGTTTAACCTGTGTGTACGATAAACATACCATTACAAGGTAGTTTTAAAAATGGAAAACCACTCAAGGTTAGATGACTCACTTAGGACCTAGTAAAACAATATATTTTTATGCAAGATTCTGAATCGTCTAGAAATACCTGCACAAATGTGAATGAGAAAATTCAAGTAAATAATTTAATCCACACGCAACCGACCTTACCTAGTACTTATTACGAGCTTGCGCCTAAACGAATAAAAATGATAGACAAAGTTACCAGGGAAGAAGGATCAAAGTCTCTTGAGATCATTGTTAGAGACAACCGAGAGTTGACAACTCAGAGAATGATAAAAAAAACCCCATTCAACGTATCTGAAAGACAATGGACATTAAATGAGAGACCAAGTCCAAAATAGATCACATAGTCACCCTTTCTAGAACTTAGAAGAGAAAGCAATAAAGAAATTGTTCTTTACAAAAATTGAAGCAAACTATGAAGATGATTTCCAAAGTCCAAAACCAAGATAGAAAATGAAGAAGATATACATGAAATATTATAAGTGTTAAAACAAAGTGTTTCCTCCATTCGAACAAAAGGCACACTCTAATGCATCAAATGATATCAACTCCAAATTTCTTTAGGCACAAAAAATATTTCTCTATAATATATGGGCCATGAGACTCTTCTTGATCTGAAAGAAGTGAACAAAAAGTTGATATACTAAAAAGAATCAACTTCATTTTTCCTAACAACAAATGGATGATATACCTTTACAAATGGTTTCCTCCGAGTTTTGGAAGAAGAAGGTGTCGAATCATCCCATGTATTAGAGATTGCAACTTGGCCTTCTCATCCTCTCTAGGTTATTTATTTGCATAGGAAGAAGTGCCTACACAAAGATGATCAAAGTCTTGGATTCATAAAAAAAAAAATACATTTCTTGATAGTTGGATGTCGTTCATGGGAAATAAGATGAGAAATGATTAACATAATAAGGTAGATAACATAAACGAACAATCCAACCAATTCATGAATCGAAGGAATTTTGACCATTTGCAAGCTAGGGCATGGTTTCCAACAACTTGTTTACCCACAATGATAATTTTATTCATGTGCAGTAATGGTTGATTATGTTGCATCATCTTACAACTCAAGGTTGATCGATGATTCAACATATGAGACATTTCCTTACATTTAAAAGTAAATTCCATGTCATTTGAAATATGCAAGACAAACAATTAACATATAGGTGAACTCATTTCACCTTATAGCAAGCCATGCGAGTGTGGACACATCCTAACATGAGCCATATGAATATTTACTCAATCTATCATAGTTGTCAAGACTTTATACTTAGTCAAAATGCAATATGATTGGACAATTGAGCACTATAATCATGTTCCATGTTGATTGCTCCACTAACCAAATATTGCAGAGATTGCGCAACCACAAATTGAAAAAAGTTACTCACTAGAGGAAAGATCAACCTAAAATGGTACGAAATGAAAGACATGGAACCATACGGGGTACCATATACCTAAAGTAGAAAAAATATTCACACTTGCATATACAATCGAATGGTACAACATTCTTTAGGACACAATTTTATGACCAATATAAATGTATTCTCACACATACTTAACTATAAAGAAATAAAATTCATTCTTAAATACAATCAATCACTCGAAATCAAAATAAACACCGATGAAAATTATTAGTGGATTTGTTGACTAATTTTCAAGTTCAAGAATATACACAAATATTATTTGGATCATACTTGTTAGTTCTTAGTGTCATTCCGTGTCCATTTTTTTAATTATTTAATTATATTAATTATTTTAATGTAAAATTGTGAGTAATTGATAAGTGGCTAGGCATATAAGGCAGGAAACAACGAAATGGGAGGAAATAATAATGTGAAGAAACATAGCAAAGTATTATAAAATTGAAAACATGAAGCAGCAAAGAAAGTATTATAAAATTGTTTCTTAATTGTGATGATGATACCGTATTACCGTGTGCTTTAAGCTTCAAATAAGCGCCTAAATCTTTTTACTCAACCTATTCCAATTGGTTGGTTATCTTTTACTAGAAAATTTGATACTTTTTCTTTCTTTTTTTATTCCCAAAAGTATGCATGCGATGTATCATATCATGTTAATATGAATCTAAACTTGTTCGCTTTATTTCATTTCAATTCAATCTTCTGTCACCATATTTGACACTTGAGTCTCAAATTAATTGAATCATTTAGTGTTTGAGGTTAATCTAATATAGGGGTAAACCAAACCATCCCAAAATGAAGAAAATCTAAAGATAAAATTTCAAGTTTTTCTTAGCATAAATATGATAGATTTTAAATAGTATTGATATATAAGGGGAGAATAATACACCCAAATAAAATATTATATTGTAGTTATATAGGAAATAACTTTCTACAACTTCATAGGGCAGATGACAGTTACAATATGTAACAATAATTAAAGTCACACAACTAACTACATACAATAACAACGTGAATGAGAGGCCTTTTCATTCTCTTTTCATCTTATATACATGACATTAAATTAAAAAATTTGGGTCTAACTTAATGGGCCTTTGGGCCTATGCCTAACATACATATTCATAATTAAAGATCTATTAACAATAACAAATTTCTTAATACATCATATATGTTACTTAGATTTCATGTAAAAAATACTTAAATGCTTTCAAATTTTATATACGTATCTTTGAACGCATCTAATTCTAAGTTAACGTTAAAATATTTTGAAAATGCATCTTCAAACTTATTTCAGAGATGTATTTACAAAATATTTTAGAGTTTAAATCGCGG